AGGGGGCGGGGCTGGCTGGCATGTGGTGCTGGGGGATTGAACCACGCTCCTTGTGCTTTGCTAAGCTTGTTCTAAGTAGGTGCTTTAGACCACTGAGCCATCTCACCAGCCCCAAGAGCAGGATTTTTTTGTGTGTTTTGTTTTTGTTTAGGACTTTTATCTCTACTATTAAGTCAAAAATTTTGAGAGGGACAGATTTTCTTCCACCACTGAACTGAAAGCCCCTGAGGGTAGTCTGATTACCTTATCAAATAAAAGGATAATTTATCTTCCCCAGCAGCCCTAAGAAAAGTGCTCCCAAGCGTGGGAGATCTACCAGTCAGACACAGATTCCAATACAACACTTTATTGTCAGTACATATGCCTGGTCTTGCCAAGCCGTGCTCAGGGTGCAGGAAGCCACAGCAGCTGGCTGCGTGTGTGCAGGCTCCTCAGCTCCCATCCTGCCTTCTCAGAGGCTGATCTTGTGTTTGCTCATTGTCATGTTTGTAACAGACTCATAAACCTGCAAATGATGAGGTCTTGTTGTTCCCTATACCCTGACATGGCAGAGTCTCCCCTTCCTCCCCTGCAGCCTCAGCGTCTCTCCAAGGTAGAGCTAGTGCAAGGTAGAACTGCACCGTCCAGGCCACCCAGGTGTCTAACTGTAGCCTGCTGGGGACCAGGGAGCTCAAGCATCCCAAGGTTTCAGGACATTCTATCCCAGAAGGATGGGGAGCACAGAGGTGGAGTGTGGAGGGGTGGGGACTGAGTAAGATGAGTGTCTGCTTTTTTTCCATTTAGAAGCTTCCTCTCTCAGGAGGAGGCTGCCCTTATGCACCTTAAATGGGATCTAGGGGTCCTTTGCTTACAGTGGAGCTAAGCATGTGGCTCTGGGGAGAAGCTGAGCTGACTCAGGCCACACTATGAAGAAGTGAGTTTGTAAGAGAAAAGAAACTGACTCATAAGGCGAAGCCTGATGCCAGGCTGCAAGGCCTCTGAGAAGGGGAGGGTGGGACCTAACTCTGTTAGGTGGGAGTTGAGGGGACAGACTGATCTGGGAACAGACATTGACCTTGGCTGGTGGACCCGAGGCTGGGATGGACGCTGGGGCGAGTGCTAATTAGGTAGGAAAAGGAAAGCGCACCTTTGCTCTGCTAACCAGCGCACTGAACAAATCTTGCTTTTTAGCTATACTCTGTAGGTCTACGGAAGAGCTGCTCTCTATCAGGGTCATCGACAAGGGCCTACGCATCAGCTCTTCTACCTGCTCCTGATTGAAGGGGATGGTGCGTATCTTCTGCACAATGCTGGGGCACAGAGAGGAGTGTGTTTGGGGGCGAGCCGCCCTTCCACCCCTTCCCTGGTATGCACTTCCTCTCCACCCTCCCTAGCCCTGGTGAACACGAAGGTTGAACTGCACCCTCCTGTGAGATGGAGGGAACATAGAGGCCAAGATTCCAACTCCTCCACCACAGGCTGAGGGATCCCAGACAAGTTACTTAACCTCTCCACCCCAGGATCTGCTAGAAAATAGCGAGGGTCACAAGAATCTGAGATTCCACTCTGCCCTGACCCACAGGACTCAGAGTACCCCCAGTACACCACCTACTTGTCAAGCTCCTCCCTGATCTTCTTGTACTGGGTCAAGTTCTCCTCTATTGCTTCAAGCACCAAACAGAAATTGTCCAGCATGTTTTCTGAGAGGTTCGGCATGGGGCTCCCCACAAGAGGTTCCTGGTGGAGACCAGCTTTCTCCATGCGGGCAAGTGCACAGTGCAGGAGTGGCAGCTCCTGACTCCAGTCTTCCTTCTCTGCACCTGTCTAGAGAGGAGGGTGGGAGAGGAGTAGAGACACAGCCTGGAGCCTCTGCCCAGCCCATGTGGCTTCAGAAGGGAGGTATCCGGTTGGATTGGAGAGCAGGATTCTAATGACTCAATCTCTCTTT